TGCTGGGATTACAGGCGTGAGCCACCGTGCTTGGCTGCTCGCTTTTGAGTTTACAGGCTCATAGGTGGAAGGGACTTGCCTTGTCTCAGATGAGACTTTGGACTGGACTTTTGGGTTAATGCTGAAATTAGTTAAGACTTTGGGGAACTGTTGGGAAGGCATAATTGATTGTGAAATGTGAGGACATAAGATTTGGAGGGGCCAGGGGTGGAATGAGATGGTTTGGCTGTGTCCGTGTTCAAATTTCTACTGAATTGTATCTCCCAGAATTTTGACATGTTGTGCAAGGGACCTAGGGGGAGGTAACTGAATCATGGAGGCTGGTCTTTCCCATGCTATTCTCATGATAGTTAATAAGTCTCACGAGATCTGATGGGTTTATCAGGGGTTTCTGCTTTTTCTTCTTCCTCATTTTCTCTTGCTGCCACCATGCGAAGTGCCCTTTCACCTCCCGCCATGATTCTGAGGCCTCCCCAGCCATAGGGAACTGTAAGTGCAATTAAACCTCTTTTTGTTCCCAGTTTGGGTATGTCTTTATCAGCAGCATGAAAATGAACTAATATACTACCTCAGATGTCCTGGGCCTGTAGGATAGATAGGTGGAAAATGCAGCCCAAACTGGTATGTTCCTCAATGCCAGGTACTCCAGAAACTATGCCCAGAGAAGAAACAGTGGCACAGAACAAGCCAATAGAGGAATTGTGGACTGCCTTCCCTACTCTGGGCAGAGTTGGGTGTACCTCATGGGCAGGCCAGACTCTGCTTTACTCTGAAATCCCTGGGCAGAGGGGTTCCCAAGGCCTCTAAGAGTAGGCCTGGATTTTTCTTCACACACAATCAATACTTTTCTAATAACAGGCTACGTTAACATAAACTTTTCCAATCCCACAGGCCTGGCTCCCCATCTTGGTCCTGAAACTTCTGAAGGGCTTTGGGCTTTGGGTCTTTTTGTAAAAGGAGGTAAACAGAATCATTGAACTGTTGTGAGAACTAGAGGCAATGGCATATAAGTCACATAACAAGCATTTTATGAATTATACCTTATTGGTCTTGTAAAAGATATCCAGATTCTTCAAGTTTTTAAGAAAATATCCTTCATTCAATAATGTCTTTGAGCTGCTCCCCAACCAGGGTTTCCTGGTTCTAGCTCAGCAACTCAGGATTGTTTCTCAGAAGAAATAATGACTAGAAGAAATCAGCTAGCTGTTTCTTGTCTCTGGGAATTTCCACTCTGGAGCCTTTTACCTTCCCCCCAATTCATTATTTCAACAACCATTTATTGCAAACACTCTGTTCAAAACACTGCTGCAGCAGCTGGGGCTGGTGGTTCATGTCTATAATCCCAGCAACTTGGGCTGAGGCAGGAGGATTGCTTGAGGCCAGAAGTTTGAGGCACCAGCGAGTTATGATCATGCTACTACACTCCAGCCTGGGTGACAGAATGAAACTCTGTCTCAAAAAAAAAAAAAAAAAAAAAAAAAAAAAAAAGACAAAAAACACTGCTGTAGAAGAAAATACAAATATGAAGTCTTTGTCTTCAGGGAGCCCTCAGTACAGGGTAGCAAACAAAAAAGCAGTGCTAAGTAGAATCCTTGTATCATAATTTGCTTAGTAATCAGTCTTTATCACTTTGCAGACTGGTTAACCTCATCAGTAGGTTGTTTCCTATTGTCTCTTAACTACTTTCTCTCACATACTTGCTTAGCACCTAGAAACTGCACCTATCCTACAAACCCCAAAGATGAAACAGTCCTTTATATTAACATAAAGATGCAGAAAGAAGTTACACAATAAGGCCTAGATGTCCCTATCTTAAGTCCATTTTGGCTGCTGTAACAAAATGCTGTAACAAAATACTTGAAAGGGCTGGGTGTGGTGGCTCACGCCAGCACTTTGAGAGGCTGAGGTGGGTGGATCACCTGAGGTCATAAGTTCGAGACCAGCCTGGCCAATATGGCAAAACCCCATCTCTACTAAAAATATAAACATTAGCTGGGCGTGGTGGCGTGCGCCTGTAGTCCCAGCTACTCAGGAGGCTGAGGCAGGAGAATTGCTTGAACCTGGGAGGCAGTGGCTGTAGTGAGCCAAGATCATGCCAGTGCACTCCAGACCTGGGTGACAGAGTGAGATTCCATCTCAAACAACAACAACAACAATAAATATACAAGAAGGAAAAGGAGAAGGAGAAGGAGAAGTAGGGGAAGGGGAAGGAGAAGGGGAAGCAGAAGGGG